AAGACTTCATATTCCCCATGGCCACCGGCTCAGTGATGGGGGTGTCTCCAAGGGGCAGACAGGCCACCTCCTTGGCCATGGGGTCCCTACTGCAGGTGGTGCTGGACATGGGAGGAGATGCACCAAGGGTCTGTCTGGGCACCCTTCTCCCCTCTGCCTCTCCCACCCTTGTCCCTCTTGTCCGCCCAGGTATCTGTCTCAGCGTGGTACCTCTCTACCTGGGAGAAATCGCCCCCAAGAACCTGCGGGGTGTCCTGGGCCTGGTGCCCAGCATCTTCATCTGCCTGGGGGTTTTCTTCGCGCAGGTCCTGGGCCTCCCGGAGCTGCTGGGCGAGGTAAGCACAACACCCAGTCCACAGGCACCAGACCCTGCTCTGCCCTCCCCATGACGCGTCCCATTTCGCCTCCTCTCAGGACAGGTTCTGGCCCTTTTTCCTGTCGGTGGTGGTGGTTCCTGCCTCCCTCCAGCTCCTGCTGCTGCACTGGTTCCCTGAGAGCCCGCGGTACCTGCTGATAGAGAGGAATGATGTCTGCAGGGCCACCAATGGTGAGGTGGAATCCTGGGGTGGGAACTGCCTCCAGGAGGAGCTGGGAGCTGGTCCAAGGTCTCCCGAGACCAAAGTGCATCCTCACAGCATCCTTCCACACCCAGCCCTGACAGCCCACCATCCTCCTTGTGGCTCAGCCCTTCTCTTCCACCCAGTTGTGCCATAGCATTTCCATGGTGCCCATCACCATGGTGCGAGGCATCTCCTGGGTTCCTGTGGATGCTCAGCCCCATGGGCCAGGGAAGTCCCCTGGGGAGGCTGAGCCATATCCATGAGCATCCACCCTGCCATGGGGGGACACGTGCCTGTGACCCCTACTCTCCCTGCAGCACTGCACCAATTTCTGGGGACACTTGACGTGCAGGATGTGATCGAGGAGATGAGGGAGGAGCAGCAGTCGCTCTCCTCCATGGAGATGGTCTCCGTCCGGCAGCTGCTGCAGGACCACTCCGTTCGCTGGCAGACGCTCTCAGTGGTGGTGGTGAACGCCGGCATGCAGCTCTCAGGGATCGATGCTGTAAGCCCTGCAGGGTCCTGGCCCCAGGACTGGGGTCTGCAGAGACTGGGCTGAGACCCAGCAGCTCATTTCATCAAGTGCCCCGTGGCTTCATCCTCCTTGCTCACACCAAGTCCCCTCCTCGGCAGATCTGGTTTTACACCAACACCATCTTCGAGAACGCCGGGATCCCCGCGTCCCAGATCCCCTACACCACCGTGGGTACTGGTGCCATCGAAATTGTTGCAGGGCTGATCGGAGTGAGTGATGGATGGACAGATGGATGCAGCCCCTCAGTGCCAGAGCCTGTCCCCAGCTCCTGGCATCATCAAACGGGGGGTGCTGGAGGGACCCCAAATGCCATCCATGCCACAGCACAGCCCCTTTGCTTGGGGGCAGAGGATTTGGCAGGGAAATGGGAGGGCAGATGGGATAACAGGGGCTCGATTTGTGGGGTCACATATAGGAGGAGTGGGAGAATTTGGGGGTAAGTGTGGGTGGCAGGGAGGCTGGAGAGAGATGGCAGGCAAGGAGCAGGCTGGGACTGATGGAGGGGGCTAAGCAGTTCCTTCTGGCTCCCACTTCATTGTCACTCCCTTAGCGGAGCCACCTGTCCCCATCTGCCCCCCCATCCAAGAACTGGCCTGGCCCCAGGCTAGCAGCCCCGGTCCCCCAGCCAGGCCTCATTTAGCTGGAGAGTTAGCACTGAGCCAGGCAGATTTATGGCCCTCGTCCCATCTGCAAGTGTCACCTGGGGCCAGCTTGAGCTATCCGGCACTAAATTTGCTCCCTGACAATTAAAGAGATGGATGGGGGGTGGCTGCTCCCAGAAAACCAGGGTTGAGCAGGGGACTGCTCCCCTCTCCCCATAGCTCAACCCACAGCAGAGTGGGGCCCCCAGTCCC